AGGTATGTGTGTTGGGGAGGGGGAGTTTGGATGGTGGAGGGGTTTGTGCTTTCGGCATTCTGGGCACCACCAAAATTTCTGAAATCCTAGTGCCTCTGTTTGCACCCTATACAGCTCTCATGGGGTACATCTAGACTACATGGCTCCGTCAATGGAGCCATGTAAAATAGTTTATTCAGCATAGTCCAAGAAGCGGGGATTTAAATAATCCCCGCTTCATTAAAATAAAAATGGCTGCCGCGCTGTGCCGACAATCAGCTGAGGCATAAAGGAGCGGTCGACAAAGGCTCCCCTTGTCGACCGCGCTGTGTCTAAACTGCCACGCTGTGCCGGATCAGCTGATTGTCGGCACAGCGCGGCAGCCATTTTTATTTTAACGAAGCAGGGATTATTTAAATCCCCGCTTCTTGGACTATGCTGAATAAACTATTTTACATGGCTCCGTTGACGGAGCCATGTAGTCTAGATGTACCCTTAGTCCTCATCTACATTAGGGAGTTATTTTGAAATAAGGGGGGTTATTTCAAAATAATAAGCAGAGCATCCACACGACCATTATTTTGAAATAACGGGCTGGTTGTTTTGAAATTTGTACTGCTTTCCTGGGAGAATAACGCTTATTTTGAAATAGTTATTTCAAAACAGTGTTAGTGTGGATGCTCTGCTGTTGCTATTTTGAAATAACTACTCCCCAGAGTAATTTGAAATAATTACTCCCCAGTGTTCCCTGGGGCTCTTAAGTTGAGGGAGTGGGTCCACAATAACAGAGCCTGCTTCAGACTAATTTCAAGGCTCCCCTGTGGTAGGGATATGCTATTTTGATTGTTATTTTGGGAGTTATTATTTTGAATGTAGTTATTTCAAACTAATTTCTTAGTGTAGACATGCCTTTACTGGGTAGAATTTAGTGTACTTTGCTGAACCAATTGCTTTCGGTGTGTTTAGCAGATTGTTGTATGCAGTGTTGTTGTAGCCATGTTGGTCCTAAGAAACACAAGGTGGGCGAGAACTTACAGTGGAGGAAAAGATGCTACTTCATCCACGAGGTCTCATTAACTGATTACTATTCAGGCTGGGAAGGAAGAAAATCTCCAATTGTTGTTACTGCAAGAAATGTGTCCAGGAACCACCCTCAAAAATAATGGTTGTAAACTGAGAATTTCAAATAAGAGTTGCCATAGTCATTAGAGATGAACCTGTCTTGTTCATCCAGCAGATACCTATTGGTCCAGTCTTGTTTCTATTGAAATCTTTGGGAAAAAATCCCATTGATTTCAGTGGTAGCAGACTCAGGCCTTTAGTTGCTACTTCATAAAACTTCAATCATCTCCTCACTGCTCCAGTCTCAGAAGATTACCATAACTTCCACTGACATGAATGGGATCTCTGGGTGCTCAAAAATCAGGCCTGAGGCACCCAAAATCAGACTGCAGGCTCAAAACTTTCTGCAGGGGAGCACCCACAACTTTAAATGAGCAGCTGCAGTCATTTCAGCTGTTCTGAAAGTCAGGCTGAACATTTGAAGTGGGGCACCCAAATCCAGTTGTCACTCGGGGGGAAAAAAGCTTTTGATCTAAATCTCTATGGCCATTCTGCACTTCCTGTGCTCTACACCAGAGGGACTGAGGCTCAAAACTCAGGGTCTGGCTTTCATTAGCTTGCCTTTTGATTTTGGAGAAGACGCTTTACTTTTGTGAGACAATGCGGGCAAGATAGTATATTTTATTTGACTAACTTCTGTTGGCAAGAGAGAAACTCTTAAGCCAACAGAAGTTGGTCCAATAAAGATATCACCTCACCCACTTTGTATCTCTCATCTCCTAGGACTGATACAGCTACAACTACACTGCATATTTTACTTTTGTATCAGTTTTAACCAGTTGTAAAATAATTCTCAGCCATCCTATTGAGGCTAAATAATTATTTATAACATCTGTGAGGAATGCAAAGCACTTTAT